TCAGGTTATCAAGATCAAAGTGGTTGTAACTTTTTATAGAACACTGAAACTAATTTCACATGGCGGCGGGGGCATTTATGTCTTACAGACATTTTCTAGTTTTTTTTATAGAATTAATCAAAGTTTACTTTGGTGCATTTTTCACGAAATTTGACCAAAATTGAAACTTCAAAAATCAAATTTAAAACTTGCATGCTTAAAATTTGTTAATAAAATAAAAAGTATCTATCTTATAATTTTTCTGTTGTTTTCATTATTTGTCTGAGCAGTTAATTACACATGAAAAATACCTTGGCAGTCAATTGTTCACAAATACACACCACATACCAAAGATAGGAGTTTTATTTCCGATTCTTGTTGATTTAGAATCCCGTTTTATATACCCTCCTGTACTGTAGGAATTACTTCCTTGCCCCATATATATAACTTTTTATTGTGTAATTATATTTTATTGTATTCTATTCCAAAGATATTTCTACAGTTTTGTAAGTATTATGCTTGCCTGCACCCTGGGTGGATGGAGTTTCCTTTTTTCTTGCTGTATCATTGGTGGGTGGTATACTTTATCTTGTTATACCTGAAGTGCTGACCTTATACATGTAAGGTCAGGTTATTACACTCTGGAGCAGTGGATTCATCCTTGAAGTTGTAGGGGTTATACGTATATATACGCGCTCTCTTAAGTTCTCTGCACCCCTGGAATATGTGTTGACGAAACCGAAGACACGCAATGAGCAATTTTATGGGTTTCAGGTTAAAAAACCTGACCAATCACTATATGCTCATTCCTATCCTTTAGGATTACAAAGGAGCATCACCCAGCTTCAAAATTGGTCCCGTTTATATAATTACCGCTATCTGCTGATGCGCATCTTTTGATGTACATGTAGTCATCAAAGGAACATACAGAGCCTTCCATTTTGTCATGACATATTCCATCGGCGCAGTGAGCATATATAACCCCTGCATGATATGTCAAGAATGGGGGATTAAACTCCCTTTGTGGGGGGGGACTTTTTATTTTACTTTCCTTTGTCTTATGCTAAATTAAAGGAGATATAGGTGGATCTGTCACCGTCATCTTGTACAACCCTATGTATACCGAGCTGTCATTATACACTAAATGGGTGGATCTGGCACCATCACCTTGTACAACCCTATGTAGGCCGAGCTGTCATTATACGCTAAATGGGTGGATCTGTCACCGTCATCTTGTACAACCCTATGTAGGCCGAGCTGTCATTATACACTAAATGGGTGGATCTGTCACTGTCATCTTGTACAACCCTATCTATACCGAGCTGTCATTATACACTAAATGGGTGGATCTGTCACCATCACCTTGTACAACCCTATGTAGGCCGAGCTGTCATTATACACTAAATGGGTGGATCTGTCACCGTCATCTTGTACAACCCTATGTATACCGAGCTGTCATTATACCCACAAGGACTTGACACATTCCTATGACCCAGAATGAAAACAAATACCCCATGGTCCGACCCCCCGATCACTTATTATTGACAATAATTGATCTGGGGGTCGGACCATGGGGTATTTTTTTCATTCTGTGTCAAAGGAACATGTCAAGTCCCTGTGATTATACCCGAAATGCTGCACCCAAGCTGGGTCCTGGAATGTTTTTAGGTCACCTGAGACAAAGTCTCAAGTGACCTATTGCGATCGCCTTTTGTCCGTCGTCGTCCGTCGTCCGTCATGCGTCCGTAAACAATTTACATTTTCGACTTTTTCTCCAAAACCCCTGAACCAATTTCAATGAAATTTTGCAGGGACCTTCCATGGACAAAGGTCAACAAAAATTGTTGCCGGTTTAGTCCTACGCCCCCAGGGGCCTGAGGGGCGGGGCCAAAAGGGGTCAAATTGACTAAAATTTCAAAAATCTTCTTCTCCAAAACCCCTGAACCAATTGCAATGAAATTTTGCAGGGACCTTCCATGGACAAAGGTCAACAAAAATAGTTGCCGGTTTAGTCCTACGCCCCCAGGGGCCTGAGGGG